GTTTTTGGTGGGCCCTGTATTTGATTGGACGGAATCAAAATCGTTGTATATTAAATAGAAGTTAGCTACCAAAAGTGTATAGCTCCATCAGAATCCGGCATCGGTAAAGCAAGTATTGATGTCACCGTGTTCACACGAATCTACTCAACGTAATCAAAAGTAATCTTCTTCGTTTGAGTGATAAGGACCATATCATGGTGTCATAGTAATAACATCGAAGAAGCAGAATTGCGGGTGGGAATTTTTAGGTGACTGATGATGCCTAGGTGAGTGCATCCCAAACACATTCAAATTACTGCGTTCTATTTGGAAAGGCACCGAGGCATGCATGCACTATGGCGAAAACTAGAGAGAAGAATAAGACATTTTGGCTTATCAACACTCGTTTGGCTTGATTACTCTACTTGAGCTTTCCGCGTAGATATACAATTTGCAGTACCAACGTTTTACTTGATGAGGAGCGTGCATCTCATTTTCAAACGAAAATATTACTTCGGTGCCAATGCAATGAAGTCTATGCTTTCAGCAGGGGGACTTCATGTTACTGTCTTCATAGGATGTATTTGAAGTAGATATTAAAAACTGCTATTCAGATGTTACCAATGCTAAGCAAAATAAAGAACGAAATCGTTTTTAGTAGTAATAACAGTAACTAAACTCACAGATGTAGGTAAGTTCATAATAATATTAGGAACCTTATAGAAAGAATATCGATTGGAAAAACAAATTAATTGCGTATAGGAAGAAAGAACAGCTTGGTTCAAAGTATACCGGAATACGCAGATGCAGAATAGGTCGCAACTGTCAATGGAACGGCATATTTTGTTTCAATCAAAGTTCACAGGTCAACAATAGAAAAACATGTTAGAAACCCTAGTTACTAGACAATTGTTGTTCACTGTAAATTCCTACTATAGTTTGCTGTCCAGAAAGGTCGTAGGTGCAATCGGCGTTTCGGGGGAAAGGTTTCAGTTACCCCTCGATATGTTTGTCGTTTGAACGTTTAAATAACGAATGTGTATAGCAAATGCTATTATTTTCGTCCTTCTAGCTGAAGGTCGCTATTGCTATAGGAACTATATAACACAACGAAATACGAAGGTCTTTTATTTCACGCATATATGTATGAGAACAGTAGACATAAGCACATGTATTATCATTAATATCACTGATATTATCGCCACTTTGATTGCTTTTCTGACTTATGTAATTCTGCGAGAATTGTCTAGGAAGATTAAAAACTGATCTGTTTATCATAGTAAATTTTCCAGTTTCCGAAGAATTCTCAGCTTAGCACAATGGACCCCATAGAAACATCGCATCTTGCTCTCGTTCTGTGCACGAACTCCCCTTACGTTTGTCGAAAGCGTCCATATGGTTTTTAAAACACGCATCCGATATCTTCGAATAATGCAAAAACGTAGATACATCTATCGCCCATTGCGACATTAAATTTCGCTTTGTTCCTAGGATCACAGCAGAAAACTTTCTTACTAACAGAACGTGGCGCTTAGGCAACCTCAGTAATGCACTGGGCTATTGCAAGCGGAGCCGTATTTTGAAGCTAAAATCATTCTTCTCAACTATTTAGGTTGAAATAAGGGTTTTTAATGCGTTCTATAGGTACCCTCCGTACTTTTTTACACGCCAGCGCTATGAACAATCTAGTTAAAGTAAGTCGATAGTAAGATATGTGGTTCCTGTCCTTAGAGCCCCGTAACCATGCGGAGTTTGATCGAGAAAATATGCGGGTTGAAACCAATGTTAGATACTCCTTTGCTCAATCCAGAAAGAAACTGAGACATGATGATGAAAGATGACGTTGTCATCACGTAATTACACTGCATGCACGTCTTTGATTGCCGTTTATAAATCTTTAGTAAAACTCAAGATAGTAGGCTGTATTCATTGTTTCATTTTCAATCAGCATCTCATAGTAGCAGATGCCGTTTATGTGCATCGCAAGTACAACCACCTACCGAAGCCTACCTAACACTGCCCTGATACTCGATATTTTTTCAAAGCGACGCCATTCTCCCGTCTGACGCTAGCGATTGAATTATCCTTCGTCTGTGGTGGTGTGCTATTTACCCATCAGAGCTCGCCTATTGGCGACATATTGCCCAGAAATTATTCAATTTTGAAGCTTGCTGGAGTCGTCTGTAACAGCCCAACATTTTCTTCCAGAGCCTAGTAGAAGACTTACGACAAATCACATTTTTTTTCTTCTTAGTTGATCCTCGGTCATGAGTACTTTATGAGTTCCAACTTGAAAGACTGTTTGAACATTATTATAAAGTCCTTAGATGCGTGCGGTCGATTTCGTGGTCACGAAATCTGCATATGTGTCCTTCAAGTTGAATACGTGTACAAAAGCACGCATAGATAGCTTTTAAAGGGTGTACGAAGTCGTCTTGACCAGCTGATAAGACTGCGCACTTAGGCACTGATAATATTAGTATCATTTCATTGTGATTACTTTGCCATGACCTTGTGTGAATTAAAACTTCCAAAAATATCGAAAAGATTGTGTCATTCTGGATTACCTGCGTATATCATGTAATTTATTAATAATGTAAGGAAAGCACTCTGTGATTCCTTAAAGATAAAGACACTGGCGAAGGGATGCCTGGAAATCTTGAATTCCCAAGCATGAGCTGAGTTCATCTATTTTACCTATTTGCATCTATTTTTTCGATGTCACGTGTTCGCTTATCTGTACGTCTGAAGGGTTCTTTAAATTTACAAAACGATAGCATCGATTTCTCAGGCATTCTTGAGGCTCAGCCGCATCTGAAAGTCTGGATATTGTTTATTCTATGTCAGGTGATCTGTTAATATGTTTCTTGAGTCCCCGTATCTCAGATTATGGACTGTAGAGAAGAGGTGGAGTAAATATAGCATATTTCATGCACTTTTAAGAGGTACTTAAACACCGATTGCCAATAATAGACTAATTCGCTGTTATGGCTCCATAAATAGCTGCCAGCAGCGTTATTCTTAATTCAATCAAGTATGCTAGACATTTTAAATCAATGTATGGCTTTCGGTAATAATGGGTAGTCCGTTGTAGGTAGAAGATAAATGACATCTACATGTAGTGTCAGGACCTAATCATTAACAAACAAACCAATGTTAATAACGTTTGCTAACCAGTTTTGTATCGTGTTATTAAGCGAGCATTGTTCACAGATGTTGACTCAATATAGCGGCGTTTCGTAACTACATTATTGTCCTAGTCAGCATCAGGTACTGTGAAGATTCGTTGTTGTGTTAGTGTCTGAGAGCGAGTTACAAAACAGTGGCTGTATCCGCCATGTGGCCACAGATGTCCGCTTCTTGAAACCTCACTCCAGTTGTTGCTTGCGGATAGCTTTCGATCATGATCTGAGTCAAGCAGCTGTGTCTCAAAGTTCGCTAGTAAGTTAATGTCATGTGGTATACCAAAGCAGATAGCACAGACCTAGTTTGCAGGTATTATAAAGGCATTTCAAGCGATTAAAAAGAGAGAAGAGGGCCGGTTGAAAGTGAGCAAAACATCTGGTACCGAGTGAGGATTTATTATACATGAAAAATTTCCGCTTACAGCAACCATTGAATGCTTGTACGTTGGAAATGCTATAAGTACATAACATTTATTTTACGACAACGGCGAGCTTCCTTCCCTATGGCAATATTACAGGCATTCTTATATTCACTAATTGTTGCTAATGGTTTATATTGTTGCTGTTCCGGCTGTACTCTTCTTTATTACTGTGTCTTTTTCTAATAAAGGATAGACGAGACGGTGTCTGTGAATACATCCACGGCACGGGTCCGAGCCTCTAAATGAGGCCCGATGAAGCAAATTATAATGCGACAGTTACGTCTACCCCTACATCCTACACTCAGCCTATGCCAAGAAACGCGGTCATCGCAGAACAACACTGGTACTTGAAATTAAAAGAGATATATACTTCCCAGAAGGCACAGCCCGAGACTTGTAACAACAACTCTACCCGAAAGCCACCTAAATTAATATACGCCCTCAATAACGCCAAGATTAACAAGATGGTCCGAGCGTCACTGCTTGTAGTTGTTCTCGCTTGCTTATTTTCAATAATATAAAAACAAAGCTAAGGTCTAGCATAAGCAGTACCTCGACATTCACACTGTATTATAAAAACACTAACATGGAACTGTTAATTTTCTGTGAAAAAATACAATACAGTATCATCAATACTATGTGAGCAAGCAGTGAGTTATTCTCTCCACGTAAATATATTATTATTATTATTATTTTATATATTATATATTTTATATATTATAGATTGTCGCAATCTATAATATATAAAATTCATCAAGAAATCTCTCCTTGGCTCGAAGAATGTATTTATCGGTCGAATTTAGCCTTTTCAGTCTTTCTAAATATGACTCTACTAAAAGGTTATGTGTATCACGGCGTATATTACAGAGTATACTCTTATGCAAAAAAACCTCAACCTGTTTTCTAGGTCTGACCCTTACACTTCACAACATTAGTAAATGCAGAGTGAAGCACACCATGCATAAATGCAAATAGAATTCGAAGTACTTTGTATGATATTTCGACCGCAAATGTCCAAAAAAAATCGCGTTTTTTTTAGGGGAAGTCTTATTGTAAAAGCGCTAGAGACAATAGTAATTATAAACGATGTAGCGGATAAATAGACAGAGCCTCATGTATTTTTGTTATATTTAAACAAGTAAAAATATTAGTAACGCTTTCAGCTACCCATTAAGGAGTTTCTTCAAAAAATTACAATATATAGTATGGCTCCTTTGCCCGTAATTACGTTCGCCTGTACAATTTGGCTTTCATCAAATTTGCAATTTCATTTTCAAGGTCCGCACAGGCACTCTTAAAGCCTGCTACGATCGTCTGACATGAGACAGGATCTATATTTGTACCTATTTAGGGTCGAGTATATATGGATTTAATGTGAATTAAGAAGATGCGTCTTTGCCTCTTTTACCTTTAGAGAGCTCAGACGGTTCGAGTGATATGACTGTGACTCAATGCTGCGAGCGTTTCAGTTTGCGTCCATGGATGGAGCTGTCATCGTAAACGTCGTGCAATCAATTGAACGCTGGTATCATACACGAGTATTTTCGTTTGGAACCAGCACAACACCAGCTACTGCGTCTACACACCTTGTAGTCATCCTTTTGCGTTTTCCTTGATGGATACGAATTCAAAGGACTACCCATTATGGTAATGCTATAGTTTGCGTTAGCTGCTATAGATACATGTTGGCCTTATATAGACGCACACGCTGTCGGGTACTGGAGTTGTACTTCCTAAAAGATTCTTATCGTTTCCCCTAACGTCTTCTAGTTGATCCTTTGCTTCGAATATAGAAAAATTAGCGGAAGGCGTGTGCATGTTGTTCTGTTATGCATATTGTTTCTTATGGATTTTGCTGTTAACTTGTTCTATTTTTCGAATTGTCTTATTGTGTTACTGATTTGTGTTTTGTTGAGGGGTCCTTAATCATGGCTCCCTTCTTTAGCTTCGACTTCAGATTAGGTTTACTTTTCAGTATGCTAGACGAAAGATTCGAAATCCGCCAGATTTTCTTAGGCAAAGTTTCACAATATCAGTTCATTCCAGAAGCCATCTCGCGCTTTAGCATTTTAGATTCGCAACTATTAAAAGGATGCTCTACTGGCTAATGTTTCTGAATTTTCCGGTAGCATCGAACGCTGGCTTGAACTAGTTCACCGAGCAGCGTCGAGCAGTAGAACAAAACAAAAAGAAAACAAAAAGAAAAAAAAAACAAAAATATAATGGATACAAAAAGTAATTTATTCAGTTGTACATTTCGAGGGAATCGTTTATTTAGAAACTAGTTTCAAATATCTTACGCAAATTTAAGCCCCTCAGGTACAACGAAACATGTTTCCCAATTCGCGTTTTTTTTAGGGGAAGTCTTATTGTATAACGGTACTATGTAAGTAATGAGGAAAACAATCAAATATATATTTGTGATGACTGAATTGGTTATTTAAAAAAAAAAATTGATTTAAGAAGATTCTATATCTACGTTTTTTTCGGTTTTTTTTTTTGCTTCACAGTTTGTGACGTAAAGCAGAGTACTGTTTCTTTATTTTTAATACTAGAATAGAATACATAGAATATTAAAAATGTTTTTTCTCGAGAACTAAAGTTAAGCCTAGGTAGCTAGCGTAAACACACTGTTATCATAAATATTAGCTCTGATCAAATCGTATCAATAATCCAACCTACAACCAACTATTTACCGTTTTTTAAAGTTTCTGTGTAATATATTTTGTCGTTTGCTGGCGTTTGTTTCGGTTTTGTATTTAAGCCTTTCTCAGAGAACATTATCGGAATATTATCTTCTTGTAATGAGGTCCCACCAGGAACGCAGTGAATCCTATCGTTCACGGTTTTACTCAGCTGATATGTACGTATGCGCACGACTTTTCTTTTGTGGCTTAAATTATTGTATTCAAGTTTTCCTTTCTGAAAGTCAGCATATGCATGCACGAATGCAGCAAATCGAAGCAAGCCTTGTTCTCTTCTATGTTAAGTTACCTAATCGTGCATTTTCCTAACCACTGTCCTGCTCAAACTTTGAAGTTTTCGGAAGATGTAATGGCGGCCTTTTGGACGATATCGATCTCGTAACTATGATTACGACCTAAGAGATTACTGTGACTTCTTCCCACGATTTTAAGAACGACTCCGCTTCAGACTATCACAGCCCAATGATATACACTGGCTTGCTATGAGTAGGCATTTGTTGTTGTTAAGAATAGGGCAAAAATGGTAAAACCACACAATATCGCGCGTAATATCATACAAAATACATATAACATGTTATTTGAAAGCAATGCGGCTCAAACGAGCACTTTTAGGACATCAGTGTAACTCGAATAATGATTAATCAAATCCAGTATTGATCTTCTATTTTTCGTTTTATAATATATATGTGGCAAGTAAAAAAGGATTGTAATTATAAGCTATTCCTGATGATAACCAATCTCAGAGTGGCGCAATGCTCGTTATTTATTGTATCTCACTCACGCAATTGCACGGTATAGCACGGCACGTTCAAGTACGTATTAGTTAGGTACTCCTCTTCTAACACACTGGTGCTCCCAGGACAGTGTGGGATAGAGTAGTTACTAAGTGGACAGGGTTTTCGGCTATCAAAGCTATGTGGCAGGAACTTTAGCGTCTATAGCCATCTGTAATACGCGATTTCTCTTTTTTTGCATTAACACAAAAACAGTATATGGGAAGTATCGAAAGTAGGAAGAACGGAAACCCGCAGGTGCCACCTAGAGTACGCATGTGATTGGCAATCATCGCTTAACATTCTATACAAATCACTGTTAATTTTCGGTGTGGATCTCCTTAATTTTTTTTCCCTGTCTCTAGCCGATATACACAATTCGTGTGTCCTTAGCTTACAGAACTGTTATCTAGAAAAGCGTTTGTTTGGCATCTACAGCGTGCATTGGCACTATGTGTTGCTATTCAGCCGCATCATATAAGTTGGCAAAAAAAATTTTTTAGTTGTCGAAGTAACGAATCAATGTGTTTTCGGATCACCTAAACATACTTTTCAAAGTTGACATCAATCCGGGATGATTTACGGTTTTGCCAAAACAATTATACTAATGGCTACATACTGGATCGCATGCAGCGTTAACTTTTTTATTGCTATCAATCACAAGCAGCTTGTTACCAATTGTACTTGCTTGCACGCACCGCATCCATCCAAGATGTTATTATGAACCGTTATTATACAACTCAGTTATGTGTGTACAGTAAACCGGAAAAAACGCAATGCAACAATTCTTTGCTGACGACTTTTAAGCATAAATGCGTCAAGAGACGGATATCTAAATTAGTTGACAAACGCTTGACGCGATATCTGTTTCGCATTTTTGGCTATCGTAACTGTGTCCTAGTAAGGCACTATCAATTTGTTTGTTCTTGAAACATTGCTTCTGGTAGATACGGTATTAGTAATGTGAAATGTTACACTGTAAGGGTCACTATCGGAAAAGCTTCCAGCGATTTAGAAGGTTCTTCGAAACGACAATAACGAAGTTGCCAGAAGTGCATTTTCGAAATTGTGCGCCAGTCTGAAGCAGTCGTCGATCACATTCTGAGCACCTCTACCCCTTAAGATTATTGCCAAAACTCTATTTCGACCGTCTGTTTCGAATGGCAATTCAGCCAGTGTTAAGTCGCTTGCGTTTTCCTGTTGATAGCAAAATCAATCAAGGACAAATCCTTTCACTTCAAATTCAGGACAGATCCTTTTACTTCTTAACAATATATACACTTAGAAAATCTCAGAATGCCCTAGAAAGAGAACTCAGGGTCATTGACTTTTTAATCTTGTCCTTAGTTGGACCTGACATTGGTGACTTGGTTCACGACGACCGCCAGGCGTCTTGAAAAAATTTTAATCTGCCGTTTGTTATTTTCTTAGGTCTTGGTGAGCGTCAAAATTAAGACAAGAACGCTGATAAAAGGATAAAATTATGCAAGCTGTAAGACTACCTGAATAAAGTGATAAAGAATGATCAAATCCCACATGAGTAGCGATCTAAAAATATTTAACGTGAGTGGATTGACAGTCTATTATCCTAAGGTCATTAAACACGTGGATACTGCAAACCAAATAGGGATTGTATTTTGGCTTCAATGCACTAATAAATACGTACATGGAATCTGCAAATAGATACTAAAATCAATATTATTTCTGAAAAACACCACTTGTTTCGTATATATATA